GCAAGACAATTTATTTGCTGTAACCATTTTACGTATTGATCTTAAAGCAAAAAAAACCCAAAAAATTAATAAGAATTTAAAACAGCGGGAACTGTAATATATGGAGGTCTTCCCCATCCTCTGCTTCCCCCGGCAGATATTGCGTCGAATACTTTGAGCTGGAGTCTTTTCGTCCATTCGGACGACATGACCTAGTTAGCGTAGGCGCTATTTTTGTTGTCAATGTCGTCGTATATCTCGTACAGCTCATTGTTCCATCGAATGAGGTATTCGCCGTTGTCAATGCGCAAAGGACCATAAATCTTCCGCAGAACTTTTCTCTCGAAAACGCGTAACGTCGACTCATCAGACGCTGTCCATGCATCCTCTGCATCATACAACTGGACGGGAATTATGAGTGACTTATTGAGTTTGATCTTTATTCGTCGAGATCGGGCCTTACGAGGCGACTACCTCCTTGTCCGAAACTTCGTTTGGTTTCGAACGGCTTGGAGAGTTCCTACCCGATCCTGGCGAAGCTTTTGGTATTGCTCAGCGTTAGTTTACACAACCGCATTAGATTTGCGGGGTTATCGAGGTGTCAAAAGGTGGCTTGAAATCGACGATGAGGTGGTGTCTGTCGATCCCTTTCCCACAAGTTCTCTTCCAAGATTTGGATCATAGTGAATATCCGGTTAGTTGTTGATTTTCCAGGTCTAAAAGCACACTGATAAGGTCCAATCAGTTTGTTAACGGTGGGCTTTAATCTTTCACAATACGCTCGATAGAACCTTATACGCGATGTTGAGGAGGCTTTTCCCACGGTAGTTGGCGCCGATTTTGAAGTCTCCTTTTTTGTGGATTGAACAGAGCACATTTAATTTCCAGTCGCCGGGCATGCTTTCTTCCGACCATATTCTACGAAGAAGCTGATGCATTCTTTATCCTTGTTCTTCGCCGCCCGTATTTGAATAGCTCGGTCGGCAACCCATGGGCCCCGAGGCTTTGTTGTTGTTCAGACGGGTAATTGCTATTCGTTCTTGTATTCGCGCACTAGTACCTCTACTTTTTTAGATATCGGCCTGAAATTTTCCACATGTTCTTTTGTTTCAAGGAGTTGCTTATTTGAACCGTCGATATCGGATCACTATAGCATATAGCTGAATGATCAGAATCAATCCTCATATGGAACACTTTTTAAATTGTCGATATTCCTTCAAGAAATTTAGCATAGGACGATGCGATCTCCGAAGATATTGTTCAAATCGGATCACTATAGCATATAGCTGCAATCGGACTAGGACCTTATATAGCTAATATGAAAGCTTGATCAAAAAATTATGTTATTTCTAGTTTGGAGGCTAACTTCGAAAAAAAACAGATACATTATTTTCTGTACTTATGATTGAAAATAAAGTAATATTTTGGATTAATATTTCAATCTGTTGAAATTATCTCCTAACTAATTTAAAGATACCTGGATATGAAATGAGGTTTACATTTCTAGTATATATTAAGTCGTTAGATAAATACTAAATACATATTCTTTTAAATTAGTACATCTTTTTTGGCGTTTGAGATTGCTTCTGTAAAGCAGCAACGGCAACAATATATACTAGCATAAATATGTCCGCCATTTTGTGTGTTAGCCTGACATATATTGAATAAAACATAATTTATTTTAATTATATGCCTGATTTCTATATACTCTGATGAAGGTCGCTGAACTGCTAGTCACCAGCTGGCGGGGTTATAAGCAGTCATGCGTATTAGTTTGTGGTCACTGTGATGCCAGCAGCAATGCCTAACGAGCGGCTCAGCCACCAACTGGCTGACACTGGCGTACCAAATTAAAATTGCCAAAACTTCACAGTCAAAAAAAGATAATTTCAGAAAAGAATTCTTAATTTCATATCACCCAGGCGATTGTGCTACTGATGGTAAGTGGTTGAAGTGTTTACCCAACGCCACATCTACACATGCACATACATATAGGCACGCTAGCATGTTATTAATTACAAATTTATATGTTCTTCTCCTCGACATGCCTCTAATGAGGTGAGAAGACAAAGCACGTCGCCGCCACATCATTGCTTTGTCAACATTAACGCGTCCAATAAAAGAAAGCCATGTAGGCGCATGGGAACGCGTGCGAAAGTCACAACAACTCATGCCAAGCAGCTATCTAAGCTTTCTATAGGGTAGGCGCATCGTCAAATTTCGCCCAACAAATAGGTAAACAAGAATTCTACACTCATTATGCCATATTTGTTTTCAAACTCTTCAGCGGTTATTTGCTGCTGTTCTTTTATTTCTAAGCTTCTTTAGCTACATATGTATTTGCTGTTTTTCTTTTATTCTTGCTGCGCTTCAACCTCTGCAGACCAATTTGGTTCTTTGACCATTCTCGGCCATTAGCTGTGTATTCGTTCAGTACCGCTAGCTCACAGCTAGGTTTTGCATAAAAACGTAAAGCGATCAATGTGTTCTCTACAGTTCTGCTGGACATTGCTTACAATTAGGACACTTTTTGTTGGTAACGCGTTTGGTGTCTGATATTTATCATAATTTAAACTGATTGATTGATTGATCGCCTAGATCGATAATACAGCAGCATGTTGAAGGCAGTAGCAAGTGTGGCAGCAGTGCTGCTCTTTGTGGCATTGGTGTGTGCAGGTGCGTATCAGGGGTGGGGAAGCCCGAATTCTTTTTAGTTATGAAATTAATAGCCCGACTTAAGTCATAACGAAGAGTTGGGAAGCAATTTGGATCTGACAGTATCTCTCATATTTGAAAAAATTGCAAAGAGTAAAGTAACAAACTCTTTGATTAATGAGATAAAAAGTAATATATTTTCAAAACAGTGTTTTAAGTCTAGAATAGTAACACTCGAGATTTTTGTTGCATAAAATGTCAATTTAAGCCTATTCTTCATTGTTGAACGCCGGTTGGTCTGACTTTTAAGAAATTTTTTCAGAAAAATTATAAAATATCGCAGTTTCAAAATTTTATATCTTATTTGGTTGAATGTTAGTGCAATGGATATATACTCTACAAACTTTCAAACTTTCTACTTTCAAAGTCATAGATTTCGATTTGTTCTCAAAATATTTCGAAATAATTCCTTTATTTTTTGAGACGTACAATATATAAGATCAACCATTAGTAAGATATCGTAAGGCTTCAACCCAATTCTAAAAAAAAGTGCAATAAAACTTACTACAACACAATTTTACACGTTCTCAGAACCTCGCCAAGGACTACAAAAGCAAAATGCACAGAAACAATTACGTTCGGGCGCTGCAGTAGCCGCACCAAATCATCCGTATCTCTTCCTTACCGTGCCACGTGAAAACGGTAATGGACATGAGGTACAAGGCTTTAAAGTTATAGAGATCGAGGACGACGACGACGATGAAGAAGAAGCTGCGCATAAGAAGACCAAAGTCGAAAACAACGCCAACAGCAATGATGATGCGGACGATGATGAGGAGGACGAAGTCAACAATGCCAATGCAGCAAATGATGATGACGATGATGAAGATGACGATATTGTACGTAACAATAATGTTGAAGTTAACGATGATGACGACGACGATTTCGAGTACAACGCCGATGATGATGATGATGATGATGCGGATAATTTGAATGACGAAAGCGATGTCACCAATAATTTGGTATATCTGCGCTCACGTGCACCACACTCACCACGCCTGCGTAGTCAAGTGAAAAATCAAGCTGCCGTTATCAGCAGCGATGGCAATCGCGCCAGCCAATTGAATGCACAACTCATATTGAAGAATGCCAAACCCACGAATATGATGGTATCGCGCGAACATGCCGGCGCTATTATGGTACCCGATGGCATTATCGAAATCGAAGGACAAAGTGTGGTGGACGAGAAGACTGGCAAGACGGCATTGCTGGTGCCGCGTGCTGCACTCGATGCCATACCAAATGGCAGCGTTGTCGCGCTAATGGAAGGGGGCGAGACCGATAGCGAAGAGGCGCGTGCCAATCGTGTCCTGGTGCGTCGTCGTCGCAAGGGTTCGCGTCGCAATGTGGTACGCCGTGGTGGCGGTAAGACCCGTCGTCGTCGCGGCGGCAATCGTCGTCGCCGTGTTAGCAACAAACGCAAGAACGTACGCGTCTATCAAGTGGGCGGTGGCGCTCAACGGCGACGCGGTAATCGTCGTGTCGCACGTCCTGTAAGGCTGCAGGGCTGATTCAAAGCGCTGACGTATAAGACGTGAACTATTTTAGTATTATAGGTTAACTAACAATCGACAGCTAAATGATGCTACTTGAATTATGTAATTGACGGAGAAAAATAAACGGGTTAAATAAAACATATTAAAAAATTAATCATAACTCTCTTTTATTATTTATATTGTGGTTCAAAATAAAGTAAGAAATGGGAGATGCTTCAGCAAGTAAAAAAAAAACTATTAGAAAAATAGTTCAGGCACAAAAAAGTAGAAAAGAAGTGGAACACATTTGATTCGTTAGTTTTGAGTGAACGCAGATTTATAGAAAATATTAATCTTTATTTTCGTCAAAGAGGTGCACACACGCGTCAATTTTTCTTTTCACGCTTTCAATCCTTCTACAATCATACTTTCGGCGAAAGCCGAACGACCAACAATAAGTTCAGATTGACCAAAAAGATCGCTATTAATCAAGACCGCCTCACTACGCGTTGTCTTTCATATGTTTCATCTTTTTCAGCCAAGTCTTGCCTTCGATTGAAATATCTTGGCTAAATTTCACCGCTTGCAATCGTAAATTTTACATTTAACTGTCAAAATCATACTTTCCTTTCCATTAAACTATCGGTAACAAATAAATATATTTAGAGAAAACGATTTGTGTGGCAGCGAGACACAAAGAAAGTTTCGCATTTGGGAGTCAGCGGAATATGATAATATCGTGGCGTACAGCAACGCAACAAATATGACTAGTCATATAAAAAGTGATCTTCGAACTGAAGGTGTTTAGATTATAGCTCATCGCTGTTGTTTTAATATACATAAAATGGCGATATAAGAGCGTAAGCAGCGCTTTAGTTGTTCGCATAACGTCTTGGCAACTAAACGTGTGCTGAAGTCCCGAAAGCAAATACGACACACATCATTAACTCTTAAGTTTCAACACGCAATGGCCAAGTACAAGTTGTGTGTTTTCTTGGCGCTTTTATGCGCCGCAGCGTTGCTAGTCAACGTCACTGCTGGTACGTATAAGATTCACAATTGAAATATAGTAATTTCTAATACTTTCATAAACGATCATTTAGCAGAAGAAGTTGAGGCAAGAAATGACGAAGTCGCACCCGAGTTGCCTCAACCAGAAGCTATAAAGGACCTTAGTAAGCCTTTGCCAGCTAAATACGAATTGTCTGAAAATCCCGCCATTGTGCCCGTAGAGATAGAAGACAAGACAGATGAGGAGCAAAGTAAGCCGGTGGGTGAAGGAGAACTTGCTCAGGGCGAAAGTGTTGTCATCGGCGCTGAGGATAGTAAAACCGAAAATCTTGAGCGCGCCATGAATGCAGAGATATTGCAACAACCCCAAATGGTGCGTTAACCGAAATACAAAACACGTGATTTCTTTTATAAAACATAACTTTAACATTCCTTATCGCTCCACCTCAGGCACGTCTAGCCCGTCATCTCAAAAGCTTCCACAACTATCACGTATATCGTGCACAGAAAGCTGCCGGTATAGAGCGCGCTGCCAACGTCGTTGATGGCATGGAAGATGATGATGGCATAGTGCCCGAGGAACGTGCCATACGTCGTCGTCAGCGCGTACATAAGCGCAAGACCAACAACAACGTACGTCGTAAACATCACAGGAAGAATGTCGCTAATCGTCTGAACAGTGCCAAACGTCAAAATCAACGCGTCAACTCTGTGCGCAAGCGAAATACGAAGAAAGGATCAGCAGGTCGTCGTCGCGTGAGCAATGATGGCAATAAGCGTCGTAGTAGCAGCAACAAAAAGCAGAGAAAGTCAAGCACTAGCAACAAGCGTCGCTCATCGAAAAACGGTATGCGTAAAACCAAACAAAAATCATCACTGAAGAAACGCACCACGAAGAACTTCAATAGCCATAGCCCGTATTTTGAGGAAGAGCAGACTGTGTATCCCGTTCGCTCGCAGGTGAACAACGTACCTCAGATGATCGTCATTCTGGACGGTGACAAGGCGGAAACTGCAATCATCGGCCAAGCTGCCTAAAGCTGGTAGATTCGTTTCAAAATGTATATTTTAAGTATTAAAAGAATGAATAATTTATACTATTTATTTTCGATTTAATAAACTACTTTTAAGTAAAATACGAAGTTTCGTTATTGTTTTACAAAAAACTCTCTGAATAATACAAAACAGTTTAGAGTATAAGTATTTGCTCCAAGGCAGCATCCACTATCTTCTCCTAACCTAGATTTTCCAAGTTAAGGCAATGCTGAATAAGGTGGGGTCTGCATCGTTCTCTGGCTCCATCACACCATAGTCAAGCCTATTATGTGCTAAGTCTGTGGTCTTTGTGTGGTGGTGAAAATAACATATATGTAAGGAAGCTTGAGAGGGTTCAACGTGCAGCCCTCATTAGCATTTGTGGCGCACTAAACTTCTTTTTAAACATGGCATGTAATGCTATTCTGCATATAATGCTTATACTCAGACAATCTGAGTAAATGAACAAATATGTTAAACAAATCTGTTGGGTTATGGAGTCGCCAAACATAGAGAGTTGTTGGTGGGTAGAAGCCGTTGAAGGATAAGAACACTGACTTTTCTACTGATTGGTTAAAGCTGGGGGATAGAGTTTTTGTGGAGATAGATATATTTTCATGAATTTTCCATCTACTTCAGCTTCAGACTTCCTGGCTATTGCAATCATTTAAAGAACGGAATCGACGAAAAACAGCTTTAATAGGGATAAATGGTATCGAAGAGTTAGTGTCTCAGCATTGAAGGGTATTGTGTTGAAAAAAATAGATTTGCCAAAAAATGTTCTTATATAATATATGGTAGGCCGGAGACTTTTCAATTGACCTGTTAGCCTACACTTTATTTAAAATACAGATTTTCGCCCTTCCAGGTGACTTTATACCGCATATTAATAAAATTGGGGGAGGGCGTTTCTCTTATAACAGTGCACATTTGTGCTTAAAATAAATAAAAACGGGTTAAAACAAGTCTTATTTACCTGAAAGTTGGCAAGTTGTAAGAGCATGAAATGTTCCATTTTACCCGAACTTAGCCTATTCTTACCTATTTTTAGTATATGGTTACTAAAGGAAGACTTAAACCGATTTTACCTACGTTTTAGTAGGAAACTATATTTCGATTAGGGAAATAATTTATATGCAACATTAAATTCATGAAGCTAGAAAAGTAATTGCACGATCTATCGATTATTATCTAATGGAACTCAAAAATATTGAATGAGAAGAACACGTGGTCGTAGTCCGATCAGGCCGTAGACTTGGTCAGGTGATCAGATGCTTATATATTAAAACGTTGAGCCTTAAGCTTTAGAGTGTTATGAATATACCGTTAAATAGCCGCGCTATGATTGATGTGAAAAGTTTTTAACTCGAACAAAGAGCCAACATTAAATTTTGTTTTAAAATTGCTAAAACTTTTGCCGAAACGTTTCAGTTGATGAAACAAGTTATGTCGATGATTGCCTATCCCGTAGCAGAGTGCACGAGTGGTTTCCACGTTTTCAAAGTGGTCGTGAGGACATAAATGACGATCAACATGTCGAAACTGTGTGTGAATTCATCACAAATCAGCCGAAATTTGCGGAAAAATGCATTTGCCCATGAATGGAAAGGGCAAATCCCAGGGGCCATTCAAAGGCTTGCACCGGCATACTGGCGACCATACCGGCCAACGAGCTAAAACACTCGTTCGACATGCTTTTGAACCGTGCAAAAAGCTGTATTGAAGCAGAAGGAGAATATTTTGATTTTTGCCGAAAAAGTCATTTGTTGTGTTTTTTTAAAGCCCTTTTTACTTTGGTACACACCTTGTATTAGTTAATATATGCGGTAACTTAATAAAACTAATAGATGATCATTTCTTTGTATTGGTATGTTAATAAGATACTAAATATGACTGTAATCCTTTCGCCCTTTCGTCGAATAATCAATGTTGAATTCCTTAGCAACATTTTTTCATATAAAGTTTTGCGAACACCTAAAGTATTTCTCCAGCTTTGAACCTTGAAAGCATATAAAATGTTTGGTTGCACTCGAACTTGTATCATTCTTACTTGTTTAGACTATTTCTAAATCAAAAGATTTTCGCTACAAAGTGCCTTAATGCGTGACTATCACACTTTGCATGATCTGTTCCATTCTTGTGCGAGTTAATTAACAAACATACAGTGCAAATATTTTCTAGTTGCAGCCACAAGTGAGCTAAAATTTGCAAGGCAGTCCAAGATAAAACACATACAGATAGCAGAAAGATCTATCACACGTTATATTTTGGCAAAGTATCAGTTTCTTCTTCTCTTCTTTGATCACTGCGGCAACTTTTCACTCCGGAATAGGTCGCTTGAGCCGTAATTAAAACAAATTGTCAGCAATTATTTGTGTGCATACTGACTCGTTAACTGTAAACAGAGTTCTTGAATTGCCGCTAATTTTATTTTGGAGCAGCGTTGGATGAAAAACTGAACGCTGTTGTTTACATATCAACACAGCCATGTGGAGACAATTACTATTGATCTCAAAGCTTAACAAGAACCCAAATCAGCAGATGAGATGATTTATTGCTTTCGCATTTGCGAAGTTCATGACCAGTATTTTTATTAACTATCACTATTATTTTTTTACTCGACTCTCACTGCTTTTCGAATTCGGAGAATATACATTTAATTATTTAGCCTCATTACATTTAATTTAGTTAGCGGCACAATGCGTTTACTCCAACTAGCACTCGTGCTAGTTTTTCTCTTTTCACTCTTCAATTCGTTTGTAAGTCATTTCCATATAACTTGACTGCTCTGCGAGGACATCTAAGAGAGTATTAATTGTTATACTTTTGTCGTTTCCCTTGACCAGATGCTGCGAATCGAAGTTTATTCAAAAATCGGCGCCAATCCACCGTATCAGTGGGAGGATATGGGAACGTAAAGCCTCAAGGTCGTATCACCAGTCAATTTTTAAATACGTTGAAGGGTGTTACAACAACAATCACCGCTGCACTTGTTTCCGATACTATAACAGTAACGTCACCAGATGATCCGACTGCTTGCACTAATCCAGACATGACTATAACGCCCTCCACAACTTCCCCTACAACGGCAAGTCCTATATATTCGACAAGTCACACATCTTCGACAGCTTCGACAAGCCCAACTGTATCAACTCCAGTGGCAAACGCAAAATCGACAACGATGATTATGAATTGAAAAGGCAAACATACCGAATGCTACTCGGTTCACAATTTTGGTTGTTTCTTCTTAAAGCTAAGTTGGCTATAAGCTTTTAGAATATGTTTTAAGTTTAGTTACATAGTTTAAGTTTCAATGCTGATCTTAGAGACGAGAATCGAACGCTCTATAAGTCCCTTTTATCCACCACACATTTTCTTGAACGTTTTGTTTCTATTCTAGCCAATTCTAAAGACGCCAAAGGTTCAAGATTTAGAAGTTCAAGTTATTTAACACTAATTTCGCAAAAGCTGTATAATCGTAAGGGAAGGATTAAGAATATTTCACTTCCAAGCTATTACATAGCTTGAATTTTTATATTTCGGGATTAGTGTGCAAAAACAAATATTAATCCACGAAAATCGCTTTATTTATTTTTCAAAACATTCTCCATTAAAATCTATACATTTTTGCACGCATTTTAATCAATTCTCGAAGTACTTTTGCCACTCTGTTTGAGGTATTTCCAAAATAACCTTTCTGAACTCAACTACCGGTTCTGTCGAAAAACGGCGACCACTTAGTTTATTGTTTTAGTACGGAAATAAAAAGAAGTCGCTGACGTCAAGTCAAGACCTGATGGTGGATTACACATCAAACCGATGGTTCAAGTGCTCAAAAATGCAATTTTTTCAACTGATGTGTGAGTGCTAGTATTGTCGTGGTGAAGAGTTATCCCTTGATTTACGCCATTTCTTGAAAGACAACTGGCAAAAAAAAAAAAATGGTTGTGTAACACTCAGAATTCAATATTCTGTGTTGTTCGAGTGATATGATTGCGAGGTATCTAGTTTTTCGAAAACAACCATTTGGCTGGAAGTGATTCATGCGCGAACAATCTAAAATGTATGTAAGTTTTAAATTTTAATATAAAATTGTGAGTTTCCAGATTGTACCACCAGAGTTGCTAAATCCAGAAATATAAAAACAATTTCGTAATTTTTACCCGCATTTCGCTTAGTTTTCAGCATCGGTTAGGATTGCTTTAATGTGATGGTTTCATTCAGTTTCAACTTAATTTTTGAGCGTCAGTCGCTAAATTGTTGGCGAGTTTCAACGTAGTTTTCTAAAGCATACGCACCACAGTAATGATGCGTTTAATGAATGCAGAGTGCTCAGCTACGTTGCCCAGCAACTCTTTTGCGACTTATAATCGATGTCGTTCTTTTAAGAGATACAGACCTTTGATATGAATATTGCTTTGACACGCTTCATATCCCATTAACAAAAGCATGTTATTTCGATTCATAAGAGATGTTTAGATCCTCAGTTGTCTCTTTGATGTCAACACATTTCAAGCCTTCCAGATTTTCGAGCGCAGTTTCATGAACCCTTGCGATGTTATCATCATTAACAGAGATAATTATTATTAAGAGAGGTAACTCGAATAAGACAAATTCTCGATGATTTCATGCTCTTCACTGAATACTTTGTGGTACTCAAATTTGTGTTCGTGACAAAATATGGCAGACTACCCAAAACACTTCTGCAACACTAGCAACGATTCTGAAGCTGATTTTTGTGAACAGTTGAAATATACCAGTCTTGGTCAAATTTAAGCATACGATATTACTGAAATATGTGTATTACATTGCTTTAAAGTGAACAGTCATGAAAAATCATTAAAGGTTACGTGCATGAGTATGCGGCACTGAATATGGTAGCTGAGCCAAAAAGATATTTGAGAAAACTAAAGATTAGACTAATGACGATTATGTGTTACCAAATGTATATACAGTGTATTTTGTATATACACCAATCTGCTGTAAACTATGTAAAGTAGATAGTGTGAGATATTTATGTATTCATATGTACATATGCCTATAAATTCTATCGCCGCTGGTAGTGTAAAATAACGGGATAGAATTGATGCTACCTAAGTTAGTCGGTTTCTCTTAGGCCTATGCCAGCGACGATTATTCAAATATCTTGATTTGCAATTTTTATGCGATTTATGTAAATTAACTTACAACGTTCTGTAAAGGCAACTGTAGTTAAACGAGCGCTAGCTACGCCTATTGTGGTTGTTGTATGTTGTAATATTATAAACAGTATATTGACGATGATTTATATTGTAGTTGTTGTTGTGTATATGTATTACATATGGTAGTATGGTAGAAACAGAATTTAGGCCCATTTCGATAGGCTTTTTGCCATGGTTCATCATATAAATATTGCGTTTGTAGGCCTTATCGATCAGTGAGCTCCAAACACTTGGAGTAAAATAATATTACAAGAAAAAGTAAAATATTGCTTTATAAAATTCTATTTCCCCAATTGGGTAGAAGTTAGTTTTAAAAAAGAACGAATCGAGGTGTCCTGGTAGAGAGGAGTAACGCTTTACACTTCAAAGTACACCGCCGTCATGTATTTCTTCAAAGTTGCCATTCTGTTGCTCGGCCTAGCAGCCGTGACACTACCCGCCTCAGGTAAGAAATAATTCTATATAACATTGTGGATTGAAAGTGGCATTATCCAAACTTGTATTACTTTTTGTTTTGTTTTGTGTTACATAGGTAAACAGATCCCTCAATCTGGTGCAGAACAAAGATATCAGTTGTTTAATAGACCGCGGTTACATGCTGGAAAGCGTATCCATGAAGAAGTGGCTAGTGGACGTGTTGTCTCTCAGGATTTTATCAATAAATTTACCTCACTGAAGAATCCCAGCACAACCACCACTTCTATCATTACAACAACATCAACACTTGTACCATCAACTCCCACGACCACAACTGTTACCCTTTCGCCCGCCACACCTACGGCATCCACAACATCACCTACCTCAACCTCACCTACAACGCCCACAACAACAACAACAACTGCATCAGCTACTCCCACTACACCAACAACAAATACTACAGGCCGTTTCCTCGCCAATTTCGACGACGACTCAGATAATGAAGATGAAGATTTCGTCTTAGCATTGTACCATCCCGATAGGAATTCCATTGACAATTACGAACAGGAGGAAGGAGACGACAGCGACGATGTCGGTGTTGCCGGCATTGGAGATTTGAATGACTCAGTCGAGGATATTGGTCGCGCAGCACGTGCTCGCCCCTCGAATTGGCGTCGTCGCCAGGCGCAACTTCGCTTGCAACGTCAACGTCAACGCCAGCGGCGTCTAAACAGACGTCGTCGTCAGTCGCAAATAAAGGCTCGTCGTCAACGTCGCCGCCGTCAACAGCGTCGTCGCAACCAACAGAAAAGACGTCAACTCGCCAAGAAGAAGCAGCGTCGTTATCGTCGCGGCGGCAAAAAGTCGCGTCGCTCTAACAAACGTAGACGCATTGTACGGGTGAAGGTTTAAATAATAGCGCTCGATATGTAACTCTAAGGATAATGCCAGTGAAATAAAGAAACAAAATTTTTATCGTATTTGTAGACGTTAATATTTTATAACAGACTGCACGTTGAGTTGATCGCGTCCAGATCTGATTGAATGAAAATATTTTCAATGTGGCAGAGATATCTGCGTGTTAGTTAGCTTTGTCTATCAAATTGCTTTTTTGTTTTTTTTTTTTTTAATTGGAGGAAATGTGGACTTTAAGTACTTCCCTTTTCTAATTCTGTAAACTTCCAAAATAGCGCATCCCACTAACTTTTAAGCTCCATAGAGCGGCGGATGGAAAGTCAAGTGATAGTCTAAAGCTTAGACTTCATCTGCTTTCTATTCTGAAACATGCTTTAGAATATACGCGATCTATGCCATAAGTAATTAGCTTCAATGACCGATTGCAAATGAAATGTAGAAGCAGCTGCAGCAAAAATCGAACTAGCAGTTTTGTTCTGACAAGTCAGGAAGCTAATTCTTAGGAATTAAAGAAATCCAAAAAAAATTGTTTAGTTGTAGAAAAGAATGTTAGATGGATTGGTTTCATGGGACATGCAATGTCGGGAGACTCATTGCATGTAGCATATAGGTTTAGATAAGTATGAGTTTAAACGGCTCTGTATCCAGAACGAAATTGTTTGATATGCCTTTGTTGTGTTTAAACCAAGGAAATTGCTTATCTCCATTAACTTTTTGAAGGTTTGGCACCTGATGGAATCCAAGAGTTCTACATGGATATTGTCAAAGAGATGGATACTATTTTTAACGCATGTTCACCTAATAGCCAATGCCCAGTTATGGCAGCTGTAAGTCTATATATACTTTATACCTAGTTCTAGTTCTTGCGTTGTCACATTTTGGGCATATGTATTTCGCTATCTTGCTTTTAATTGTCGATTTCCATAGTTTAGCTCCGTCTTAATCATTCCTAGCGGGCATGGACGGTCTCTAGAGCGGCTCCGCACTTTGCCAACTCGTCTCTTTTTTGTATATGTAACATCGAAAGCTTCTTCAAAGTGGTAAATGAACAGCGAAACCAACCGTGTGACCATTTCTGACCACTTAACTGTCGAAACAATGTTATAAATTCCAGAGAAAGAGAAGACTGTCCTATTTAGTCTGAAAGATCATTACCACAGTTTTCAACCATTTTCAACAACCATTCTCTTTGGATGGAAAAACTGTTAAAGAGCTTTACAAAGCCGACAGAAAATCGGACGGAATTCTTTTCATACTTTTCAAGTTTTATTTGTTGTTTCGCGTTATCTTCAAAACATCTTAATACGTTTAGCTAAGAGTGTAGGTGTGTGACCTATATTTGCGAAACATGTGTACGAATGGACCAAATTTCAAATATTTTGATGATCGCTTTGAAAAGTTTTATGATAGTCACAAAATAAAGATTTTGACATTCACGCGAGGCTTGAAGAAATCTACGCTCAACCTGCTTGAGTTTGGCCGCAACTTTATACACATTAAACACCGTCAGAAATAAGGCAAAGCACTTCAACAGTGTACAATACTATGTTTGCAAATCAATACTCTTCTTGTTGCGAAGCAATTTGCAAAAAAGAAAAAAACCAAAACAAATAATATTTATATATATGCATGATATTTCGCATTATGCTTTGTCCGTGTTCATCATTACAACGGCAGTCATGCAAATTTTATGTAAATTGTTTTTTTAAAACTGATACCAACATAACTGTTGGGTCTTGTATCTTGCTTTTGCGAATTTTTTGCAAATTTCTTTGCACTATTTCTTCAATATACCAGCGATTAATAATGAAGCAATTAATCCGCATATATATTCATATCTAGTATTCTAAGAAGCAACAAATACGACTATAAACAGGTGGTTCAATTAACTATAAACTATTGTAGAACCCCAGCGATCTGTATTGCTAGCAGCGCATATAAAAGTCCCTCGATATAAACCGAAAGATGCAGTTCACCTTAGTTTGTTGAATTGAACAGTCGAAAGGGATATTTCGAGCATTAGTCCAAGTAATATTAGTGGTGAGCAATCATGCAGCTCACGTGGTCACGTTTATTGTCAGTGTCGCTACTGATCGCGGCACTGACGCTGGAAACAGCCGGTAAGTAGTCGCTAGTTAGTTCATCATGTTTTTCGTGATTAATTTATAAATTTTTTCTTAATACAATATAGCTTCACGAGCTTCCCACCGCGGAGCTAATAACAACCGATATAGCATATTTCGCAAACAGCAACGCTCTGTGGCTAGAGACGAGGACGTTTTGCCTTCCGGTCGATTTATAACACAAAATTATTTGAACAGTTTAAAGGGTCAATCGACAAACAACTCATGTGAAGAAACTGTCGAAACATACCCAGTTCATGTTACTCTTTCTGATCCTACTGGTTACTTTGATGATTATGATTACACTTCAACTCCAGTTAGACAACTAGAAGTTACAACTTTCTCAGAGCCAGAAAGTAAAACTACAACTACGCCTGCGCCAGCAACATCAACCACCCCTGCACCGGCTCATAATCCAGTGATTATTGGATTCTATGACAATTATGAATATGATGATGATGATTATGACAGCAGCAACGACAATTACAGTAGTTATAGTGATGATGTAGATGATAACGATGAAGACGATGTTAGCGAAAATGACGATGATGATCTTACAGCGGTCAATTCAAAACAACGTGGGTTCGGCAACGGACACGAAAATTCGGTTAGTCAGCCTGAGTCCGACAATGCTAATGTCGGCAAGGCAGCACGACAACAATCATTATCGGATTATCAACGACGACGAAATCGTCAGCGACGCCGTCGTATACAGCGTCGACGCGTACCTGTCCGAAGGCGTAGACATAGAAATCAACGCCGCCGGCCACAAAGACTACGCTTACGACGTAGACCGAACCGTATTCGTCAACAAGTTGTTGTGCGAAGGCGCCGCACCAGAACTGGTGGACGTCCATCAGCAAGTGGACAAAGTATACCTCTACCAAATATACCTCTACCAAACTTTATTCGATTACCTGCAAAGAAGTGAAGAAAATGTGTAATCCTGATAGACATGGAAAACGATTAAAACATACTACATGATTAATAAAAATATATAAAAAAAATCTTTGTCTATTTTCACATTTGACCAATTACACTAGTTTACGATCCTTTTACGACTGTAATGTTAGATGCTGTTTCTTGCTAAAATCAAAAATAATTGTAAAAATTTCACGAAAAGGTTTAACACTAAAATTACGCAATGATTACTCTCGTACCGCCGAACCGACGCCACACGAGGGGAGCAATCCACAAACGAGCAGAATTAGCCGAGTCAAAAAAGGCCAGAGTGCAGCTCTAAATTCTTTAGACCAACGTTTAACAAAACCAAGAGCGCCTTTAGCTTTATAAACTATTAAAGACGCATGAAGATAAAAGTTGATTTTGGGATCCATAGTTACTCGTAGATCAACAAAGTTTCGTATTACGTACAAAGAAGAAACAACAGATCCATGGGAAAAGCACATCGCTTTACTCTTTCTGAAGTTCAATGACATATCATTTCTAACATATCAAGAATGAAAACAAAGTTTAATAAATGTGATCTGGTCTACGGAAAGGGGGCTTAGGTGTCAAAAAATCTTAGTTGATTCGGATGGAAGATGAGATGCTTTTTCACGTGATAGAATCCAAAAAGTCATAAACTAGTTTTCACACATTAGCTCCCTTTTCGTAGACCAGGTCACATATATATCTCATATAATGGTTTTATTGAAAACTACATAAAGTCCCATTATTCCCAAGGTTCCAATAAGTGGACCTAAGTGCCTATGCATGACGTTTTACTGAAAATAAATATCTAAGATATAAAATTGAAACTTAGAGAACGTATTTTCCAGGTAATAATGCGTCCTGGTTCCTAAAAAGTAGTAAAATCGGATTTTGGTTTCCATACCCCATATACTTAAGATAAAGTGTTTCAAAGTTCCGGTTACCTCGATTTGCATAATGATAATACTAGACGTAACCGCCATTTACCCAATTTAAGAACTTCAACATCCGGTTGGCTTCATCGCATATAAATATAGCAGTTAGTATGTGAGATATTTTAGAAACAATAAATAAGCGTATAATGTTGAATATAGAGTACACGTACCCAAATTATGTGAAATATCTCACCCATTTACGCCAGCTTTCATATATTCTATATAAAGAGATTCGTTAGTTTAAAAAACTCTACACCTAATATGTCGGTCAATGCGTGAGTTATCTTCTTAAAAAAATGAAAACGGGACAAGCGGAGCCGTGGTTACCATTTGGTCGACATTTTGTTCAAATCATAATTATCTGTATAATACAAAAACAGGATCCATTTTTTACAAGTTTGTGCATTTTATTTCATTCTCGTTCATATTGGTAGACCCTAAAAAATAAAGTCGTTTCCGATATATTTTTTGTTTTGGTAGATTATCAAATTTTTTGACAACCAATCATATCTGCCAAAAATTGTTTATTTTCAAATTTTTTTCACAATCATAGTTGCCAACTAAAATTCTTCAGAATCAGTAAAAATTAAAAAAACACATATTTTTATTTTTAGAACCCTTATTTTGAGCTGCTTGTGGTTCCTCCGATGGTGTGCCAATAGGCAAACGAGCATTGTCAATATGTTCTGGTCGTGTGTTCATGCAAAGTGGAAGCCTGCTGACCGCTTATCGCTTTTGATTTTTCTACGAAGCTGATTTTTCTTAATTTAGTTTGAGTAACTTGAAGTAATTATGATAACTCTGTGGTGTCTCTAAAAAATTTAGTTTTTTTTTTTTAAATTAAATCAATGACTAGAATCATTAAATAAAATTTCTTTTCGACATCGTTTAGGCGCTTGATCACGCAGAAATCCAATTCACAAATTTTTTTCAGACAGAAATCTCTTTTCAATTTCAAGGGACCTATTCGGTTTATTCTTAAACTCAAAAGCAAGTATTATTATGCGTTTTTTTTACTTTAAGAGTTGTCCTCAGAATAAACAGTACGATTTTTTTTTTCTCAAGTGCATGATTTCTTTCACTATTCGAGCAACTGAAATTATTCGAAATATTTTACAAGATCAGTCAACGAGATGATCTTTGGACATGTTCCTACAAAAATTACACAAAATTTTTAAAATAAGAAATATTAAAACAAAATATAAAATAACAACAAATAATCAATATATCTATATATAGTGCATTAAAAAATACTTTCACAATTGTTTTTATCATAAATTTTAGCAAAATACTTAGTAGATAACCGCCTCAGCTTGATGATTTCATAAATAGTTTCGTAAATTTTTGCATTCAGTTGACCTATCTGCACCTTTTTCTGCTAATTTTCGTTTTTTTTTTTCACAAATATTAAGATCACGGCTTCTCCACATAAGCACCGTTATGTTTTTTCTTTTTTTGTGCTAAATGTTGTAAAATTTTTTGTGCTTAAGGAAAGTGTAATCGGGTTTAAGGGAGCTTAATTTTTTATTTTTTTATTAAACCGAGAAATGAACCCCTTTAACCCCACTGTGCGACGTTGATAGTGAGCCATGTTTGGGGCTTAATTTCTAGTAAACCAAGGTGCTTTCGATTAAACCCTTTACAGCACATATTTACTGTTGTGTCTACTTTAGAAATGTGCAATATAAAAACACTTTATTCAAATCGCGAAGATATGCGGACGCTTAATGAGTTCCCAATTTGCTTAGAGCTTATCACATGACAGCTTAAAGCGAAGACTCTACACGAAAATATGACAATTTTCAATTAAAAATCTCTAAAATACATATTTTTAAGAAATTTTGCGAAATATCTTGTTTTGATCTTTTTGTACATTTTCGAGTAAAAATAAATATGTAAACAAGAAGCGAAAGACTTAAGACACAAACTTCACCATACGTACAAAAGAGTTAGGCTTGCTTTATTCCGCCGCTAAAATCATAAGAAATTTGCTTCTGAAACGTTCAGTGCTTCTAGTAATATGTTCTTTGAGCAAAGAAATTGTCACAAATAAAAAATGTTAATGAAGTTTATTCACTATTTATAAAACGACGGTCTCTATTTTTCTTTTAGATGCTCGTAGTTGCTATTATATAGTATATTTACTATTTTCGTTTTCAAGTTCTCTTTTTACTTATTTGCTTTGGCATTTGATTTTGGGTTCTTCACATTACCATACCTTCGGTTAGCTGTGGTTTCTATAATAAGTTCTAATCATACTTTTTTTGCATCTCTTTTCGGTTTTGTGCATTACTTCTTTTTCGTGCACTCTTCTTAAGCAACTTACTGTTATATTCTAAAAATCTTTAGACATGTGTGTGTACATACATATACTCGTATGCCTGGTAATCTGTTGAATTCCAAATTTTAGTGATTTCATACCTTTTAATTCTTTTGTCTGCTGTTTTGGTTGGTACATACCTACATACATGTAAATATCTGTCTCTTATACACATCTAGATGTGTATAAGAGACAGGTGTGTACATACATATACTCGTATGCCTGGTAATCTGTTGAATTCCAAATTTTAGTGATTTCATACCTTTTAATTCTTTTGTCTGCTGTTTTGGTTGGTACATACCTACATACATGTAAATATATATACATATATATATATATATACATATAACTACTTTAGCTACTAAACAAGTGACCAAAGTAGCTGAATATTTATGACTATCACACTTATATAAACGGCGACTTGGCCATTTGCGCCGCTCAGTCGATTGTGAGCATTGACCGAAGTAGAGATTTTCATAAGCAAACGCATTAAGCCTTTTCTAATTCTTCATCTAAGTAGTGTTTATTGAAAGAAAGCAATGCGGTGCTTTCAGTGGTGTGTGTTGTTATTTTTAATAACAGTACTCCATTCGTGTGGTAAGTTTCGTTTTATAGACATTTCGTTTCTTTTTCAATGCAATTCTTCATTTATTTCCACTTCCACAGTTTGCCATCCGCTTGGCATACGCATCGCTTCACTAGCCAAACAACACGAATCGCTTCAAGATAGTGACTTTGACGATTACGAATTCGATGATGAGGTTGTTAGTGACTCACGTGCTGATGATAGCAATGCTAGAGCCGATCACTTGCTCAGTGACGATGGTAAGGAGCATAATGATGACATTTATGAGGACTACGACGACGTTAATGATTTGGGTAATAATGTTAAGGACGAAAATGATGATGAAGAATTTAACGATAATGATGATGAACATCACGATAAAGTGACTGAAGAGAATGACATCGAAGACAATTCATCAGATGATGACATGGGTCGGATAGCTGGCTACCGACCTGATGTAGCTTTGACGAGTCCACTGGAGTATTATAATTGAAAGATATGAAGACAAGACTTTAAGATTGGCAAATGCACTGAAACAAGAAATGTATTTATTTTGCTAGATTAGGTTTCATAAACTTTAAGTGTAGTTGTAATGTTAAAATTTACCTACATATGTATATGTATGTGAGTATAAGCATAATATAAGAGATAAAATCAAACGTTTGCAACAATTTTCTTTTCTTTGTAGTTTTCTTATATAATTACCAAGCTCACTTATTTCATTCGATCTCGCTGCGAAACATGTCTGAACTTGAAGTGTAACTTCCGATTGTAATAGCAGTTTATGTTGTTGTTGTAACGCGTACCTTATCCTCGTTGGGATGATAAGGATTAGATATGTAAGTAGTCGTCGACAACATCCAACGGTAGGCCCAAGAAACGTGCTGTTTCGGCGGGGTCGGACGAAAAGGAGAGGGGTGTCAGATGAGTGGGGTTAGTGGGACATGCCATAGCCATGCGCAGACTCATTGACGCAGGACATATAATAGGTACGCCGAGGTCTATTTAGGTTAAGTAGGAGTTTAACCTGCTACAGTTGCCAGAATGAAGCTGCGCAAGGCTCACTCTCGCTTCTCGCAGCAACTCCAACTCCAAGTACGCCCTTCACTAAGTGGGTGATCTGTGCTTGTCGGTAGTTAGTTGCATCCAAAATCTAGTTGGCATATTTGTTGATGTCTTCGACGTAGTTGAACATGTTGTAGTTCGGAGTGCAATGTTCTGACAAGTTTCAAGTTCCTCAACTGCATTCCATTGCATCCAGGCAAACATATTGGGGCATCGTAGTTAAGAACCGAATTCCTTGTAAATTGCCAATAACGCTCTTTTGTCCTGTCCCCATGTGCTACGGGCTAGCGATATGGGGACTTTGTTACGGCGCTGTACTTTGGCGATAATCGCGGTCATGTAAAGAGGGAAGGAGCACAGACTGTCAAAAGTCACACCTAAAATCTTAGGATTAACAGTCGAAATCATAACGCCATCGACTGCAATATATAGGTCAAGTCTGTACTACTTCGTCCAGTTTGTGAATATGGCCGCTTTGGATTAAGTGGAGGAAGAGTGTTAAGTAGAACCGTTTAGCTATGAACACTTTCCTTCGATTTCATTGCCCGAAGTCATTATCGTGCAATCATCAGCGTACGAGATGATAGAAATTCACTTTGGTGGCTGCTGGATTTTAGAGATGTAGAAGTTAAACAATAGCGGGAAAAGACATCGCCCTGCGGAATCCTTTTTTCAATTCATCCCAGTTTTGAGTTTTTACCTCAAAATAGTACGAATGATTGACGACCGATTAGGTAGTTCATAGTCTACCTCGTCAGTCCTGGAGGAAGCGTAGCTTTTTCGATGTCTTCAAGCACCATTGTGTGATTGACTGTGTCAAAAGCTTTTGACGAGTCCTTTTTTCTGGTTAAGGCCGCGAACTATCTGGTCGCTAAGTGCTGTTGTGGTACTGTGCACTTTCTGGAAAGCTATGCTGGTGGCAAAGTTTCAAGTGTCTTCGCTACTAAGCAGACGAGAGTTATCGGACGTTAGAACTTCACAGTTTATGTCCTTCGATAAAGGCATTATATCGAAGAAGAATGCTTCGCAGAGATCTAGTACGAATAAGCGTACGCTCGGAATATGGAGGGTGAAGTTTAAAAATTATTGGGAACGGAGTTTTCAATGGTCCATTCTAAAATTTGCACAGTCGTGATGATTTTTCATAAACAGTTATTATAATATTAAACATTAGGCTGCTCGTATACTCGAAGGTATTTTTTTTAAGTGTTGATTTTAAATTCATAACTCCAAAATGTTTAATATGAGGTCCGAAAAAAAGAACGAAAAGAATTTTTCAATGTCTATTTTGGATGGTATGACCAAAAAACTGCTCATTTGTCGGTATCATCGATATCGGAGTAATATAGGATATAGCTGTTGTATCTTTTGATGAAAATTATTTTCTTTGTAAAGATAACTTCACGATTCGTGTTCTAAATCTCATAAAAACTATTATCTTAACACGATTTCATTCCCCACGATAGTCTATTTCCGCTAAACACTTCAAACCCTTTAACGCTCTTATTTATTTCAGCTAATTGACCTATTTTAGCATATTAACTTACGAAGGGAGTGTAGCCTACTAGTGGGCTATCTGAGCTGAATAAAAAGTCCAAATATATATACTTATATTATATTAAAAAATTCGTGTTTTATTTAAAATATCGAAAAAAGTCTGCTGATTGAATTTTGTGAATTTTTTTTTACATCTTTAACTTACATTCACCTAAGAATTGTATTGTTAGTGAATAGGAATAATTTTGCTTGACCAAAACTACACAAAATGTGGATCTTTTTGCAGCTTTTAATCATTGCACTATCGACATGTATTTCGACTGCCTAAAGATATGCAATGCGAATGGAAAATATTAATTAAAGAACTTCAAAATTGCTTTATACTATTTATCACTTTCTTTACGCAACACGTTTATTCACTGTGCTATAATTTACATATAAATTAGTTAGGGCTTAACAACGATTAGCTATAATTAAAGAAAAAAGTATCATATTTCAATTACACCAAAATAACCGGTAATGCGTTTGATAGAATTTCAGTTTATATTTAATATGTTTTACTTTTAATCGGAAAATATGGAAAATTGAAATATTTAAAGACAATATATTTGCCGGTCTTTTCAAATAGATCTTATAAAATCATTGTTTTGAATTGAATTATACTGAGTTCAGTAATTAAATATTTAATGAGGGCAGCTTGAGTTTAGTTTAAAATTTCATAAGTCCTGAGACAATGAAATAAAACTTATTTTATGTTCAAATTATTTATCTTTCTACTAGAAGTAAATGAAAGTTTTGCATTTCTATTGACGTTGTTATTCAACATAAACTCAACTGACTGCGGTTTTTCTTTTTTCCTCAGTATTTTTTTCCAAATTCACCTACATCTAAGTTTTCAAACCTGTTACCATTGAAGCCTTCTTGTGACAAAAAGTGTTGAAAAGGTAGAGCTAGTAGCTTTAAAGCACTGAGCAAATTTTTTTTACTCTTGAAACTTGTTGCTACATGGTGGGTGATCCATTTCAAGCTTCCCTACTCTTTTAATGAATACACGCAGAATTTCAAATTAAATGGGGAATAATTATTATCAGTCGAAAAAGCATTTTTTGGCATTTATTTTTTGGAGATTATCTCTTTCAAATGTTGGCCGCGGCTACTTCTCCATCTGAGAAGAACTCATCCGAGTTAGTAAATATAAAAGATCAAAATGACAAGACGTAAGTTAAGCAAAACTGTGCAATGATCACAGTAGTGTGTGACACTTTTGGACTAAACAGTCCAAGGCCTCGCCCTCTAAATGGTTAAATATACATATATTCGGAACCACTCAAGCTACCTCAACCAAATTTGATGAGAAGTAGTCTCCTTAGCATTCCTTATTGCCATGTAAAAATAGGCAAATTCGGATAATAACCACGCGAAATCCGCTCATAACACTTATATTGAAAATTTCTAAAGTGCGATAACTCACTGAATAAATGTGCCACAATCGTTAAATTTCAAAACCAGGTTATCAAGGGAGGGCACTATAGAAACTGGTATAAAAATTATGCTATGGATGTGGCACCATTTACTTTTAGTTGAAAATCTGTACCTCAGGAATTACTTCATCAATGCAGCAAAATTTGGTATGTGAGGTTATCAACCATACCTTTTACACTGTGAAGATAGTTGAAATCGGACTGCAACGACGCCTACTTTCCACATAGCAAACTTTGCAAAACAAATTCCATCGGATTCTTTCAATTTACAGTATACAAATCAGACAATACCTTTATTAATGAGTAAAACTTTGCAGAAGTAGTATTCTCAAGAAATTTAATTTTACACCAAAAAATGATAAAGACCGTATTACAACTTGTGCCAAAAAACGGGTTAAGTCTCATACTATATGTTACCTAAATATTTTCAAACTTCCGCTTCACTTTATACCGCATCTATCAAACAACAAACAAGAATTCTTAATAAAATTTGGATGAATGAATAAAATTATGCCTATACTTTTAAATTCAATTGATAAGTTTATCATCACCTGAAGCAGGTTTCCAGGCTTTCATTTAGTTTTAGCCGAAGTTTTGCCTTAATCCTTGCAAGTGGCAAGGTGAAATTTTCAGCTACACGCGAACTTAGCCTTTCCGTACTTGTTTCTCCTAACAATGCCTATTTTAAGCAAATTATTATTTCCATTGAGATATATGTTGAATGTTCCAAACTACTTTCGATAATCAGGTGCATATATATGATACCCCTATTTCCAAGTTGTTTAAAATCTCAATTTTGCGATAAAAACTCCATACTTACTCATTCAATAAAAGTATGTTAAATCTCTTGCAAATAGTACTAAGAGTATAATAATAATTATTATTGTTTATTAGTCACATTACAAAATATTATATCTAACATGGCGTACTAGCTACAGTGGCCATTTGTAACATTTGTCAAAGAATAATGCCATTGAAACATATCCATTGGGACATTTTAACCATTTGCTTGGTATTTTCTATTTTTACATAGACTTTTTTTGCAAAGGGGAATCAATTTCAAGGCTCCCTACTTTAAAGGAAAAACACAGAAACTTTAAATTTGATGGCTAATGTTTATTATCATACGAAAGAACATTCTTGAGTTCAATTTTTAATGACTACTTTGAGCATTTCCACATTTAATTGGCGAATAAAAAGTTCGATGTTCTTGTCCAATTCTTGACACATTCAAAAATTAAATGTTTTATTAGATTTTTTTATTGCTACAAAGCTATCAGCAAAGAAATTCTGAAATTTTTGGAAAAAAATATTTTATACTCGCCCATTGCAACGCAATTCCGGTGACTCCTCGGAAAAAAGATGCACCCGCGGTAAAAAAACTGTAAAGTGGATTTTTCGCAGACATTTTTACAAAAAAAAAAAAAAAATTAAGTTTCCAGTGATATTTTTTCAAATAATTGTAATCGAAAAAAGGGGAAGAAGCTTCGAGGAAGCCTTTAAGAATTGTATATCAATTTTCATAAACATCGGTAGAGTAGTTCTCGAGACATTTTGCCAACCGACTTCAAGAACACAGTTTCGGGGCAATTAAGGGGTTACATACGTCCAGCAGCACCAAAAATGCGCTAAAAGAAAACCTGTTTTCAGAAGGGATAACAATATAAATAAACATAAAGAAATTTTATACAATGTTTATTGGTACTTAAAGTTTATCAAAAAATTTATTTTAATTTTTCTTTACAAAAATGAGTACATAAAATATCACGTGACCCAAAGTGCAATGAAAAAAAAGTTGCTCAGTCTGCATCACTTATCCTTGAAATGTTGACGGATCTGTAAAAATAAAAAAGATTCTTGTAAAATGAAGTTGTAGTTATAGTCTGTCGAGCCGAATTTTTTTATTTCGAAAAATTTTCCAATTTACAGAATTTATAAAAAAGCATGCGTTTTACGTCATAAATGTCACACTTTAATTATGTTTATAAATTTTTTTAATAAAAATATCGAAAATATGGCTCCACAGACTATAGAGAAAACATTTTCGAATATTTAAAAAAAAATCGCATCAAAAAATGTTAAAAACTGTATGAGTTATCATGCAGGACATGCCGGGAAAAGTAGTTTCGAGAAAAACGCGTTTAAACGGCCAGTTGCCTCAAACAAAGGACAGCTACCTGTGTACATTACACTCTCGTCGGGCGGGCTGATCTAAAACTATAAAGAATAATAACCTATAAAAAAAAATCAATGTTTTTTTAAATTCTGGACGTATGCAACCCCTTAACCTAGCTAGCCTCGAACGCTCAAGTTCTCAAGGGAACTCTCCGAAACTGGGATTCTGGGATCAATGTAAAAATTTAGCACAATATTCTAGAGGTGTTGACGAATTTAATAGACAATAAAAAATTTAATTTTTTGAAACCCATAAACCCATGTAACCCCTCATCTCGCAGAATAATTTCGTGGTATACTGGACAGGTGTGTGTAATCATTTTCGGTTAGTTTTATTGCTTATATGTGGGATACATGACCTTAAAAAAAAAACTGTTTATTTCAAGAATTCTCACAAATATAGCCATACTAATGTACGAGTTAAGTATTCGTTATTGGAACAAAAATTTAATGGTCTTGATCTCTATCTCTATCTTTATCACTTTTATTTACATGTTTGGTTCGACGATAAGTTTTGGTTGGGTCAGAATATATCTTTTCGCACATCTTTGTCAGTCTGTTGACTGTGACTGACCACCAAAATTCAGTTCTTATGAGGAATATTTTGTATTTGTGAAGGGTATTATTGCTCCGGTTCAATGGAAATCAACGTTTTATCTCGTTTTATATAATGCGTTTTTATACTTAGGAATTTTTCACTTTTTTTTTTAATTTTATTTTTTCATGCATAGATACTTTGTAGTGAGATATAAACACCGATCGATAAAGAAAACGCTGTAATATTTATACCCTAACCAGTATAAACATTGCTATGAAGTTTGTAACATCGAAGGGTTGTTTGACTGCACATACGTGAATTAGTCCCTGGTGTTTTGAGAAATCGATTTAAAATTTTGCAGTTTTTTTACTCAAAGACACAGAGGCTACTCATTTGTCCGAACCGCCGATAGTGGCTTCTCTTAAAAGTGCTGCCATACAAACCATGATCAAAACCAAGTTCATATAGAGACACTTGTTTTCTGTGGCAAATTACTTTCAAGAGATTTGGCACAGATTATTGCCTAAAACAAGAGTTCAATTTGCAAACATTGTCATACAACTAACCTAACAAAGATCTTTATATACACTTTTATCCTTAAAATGTACCTGTGAAGGGTATTATAGCTTCAGTGCAGCCGAAAATAACGTTTTTTCTAACAGAATACTTGTTCAAACAAAATCTGGTAGACCTGTGAAATTTCGAATGATATGAGTAGGCATTTGCATACTATTTAATATTTTCTTCTTTCTTTTGAATTCCTTTACTTTTTCGTGTACTTGTACGCATGCGTGAATTTCACTTTTTCATTTCTGCACATCTATTATTTTTGTGAGAGATTTCTTCAATTATTTCAAGTGGTTTATGCATTCAGGCGTTACATTGCTGTACGTATGGGCATGTGAAGGTTTGCTAGGTTTGCCCACAAGGGGCTGGTGACTTGTTGTTCTTGCTTCATTTTGCCATTTAACGCTGAGCGTGAAGAAAAGGTAAACAACAGTGAATGGTCAAGTTCGCATTTGGATATTTTGCACGCATTTCGGCACATTTGTAATGAAGTTCATTCGAAAGCTACTCGCATGTGCGTCGCTGTCATTGCTGATGATTGCTAGATGAGCTGTTAAGGGGGTAAGAGATATACAAAGCCCTAATTGTTGTTGTTGCTGTACACATAGTGGCTGCGTAGTCAGCAAATAGCTGGTGGCAATCTAACTGTTTCCGTTGCACGCTTTTTATTTTCCAATAAAGCAATTTTTTTTTCTTTTGAACGTGAATACAGGCTTTACCCACTTAGAATGATAGCCTAGCAACATTCATTGTTGCACCCCAAAAATGCCGTACAATGGTAGTTACTTCATGTAACTAGACGCCGCAAATGCTCTGTCATTGCCCATGTGATTATTTGCTCAGTGGCATATCTAGTTTTCTAAGCTGTCGTATAAAAGCGGTTCCCTCAGCTGGTTAATCTATCAAAGTTCAATTAACTTTCTTACTGATCGCACACATTGGAAAGTTCTTTTACCGCACGGCATAGGAAAAGTAGTTCCAAATGAAGTATAACGCACTCATATTTGTCCTTTTGGCTGCCTTGGTGCTGTGCGCACAAGCTGAGCCCGAACCTGAACCCAAAGCCGAACCAGAACCCGCCAAAGGTATGTATCAATGCAAAACATTTAATATTTTTGAAATTACTTAACACACACACCATTATTTTCTAGGTCAACGCGCTGTTTTTCCACGCTTCCGTTCTGTCGCTGATGTGAAAGAAGCACGCGATGCTGAAAACGTTGAGGATGAAAGTGACGCCGAAGACGAGGCGAGTGCTAATGAAAGCGTCACACCCAATAAGGGTGCTAGCGCATCCAGTGGTCGTTTGTTCTTGAAGAAATTCCTACTCTTCAAGAACATTTTCGGGCAACAACAACAACAACCCATCATTCCAATTGTTATTGCCGGCGCAGGTTCAGGAACTTCACCAACTTTCACTTCACCCACCTCCACCACAGTCACCTCGACAGGTTCCATACCAACAGCAACCGGTACAATCAGCACCTCACCCACAACAACATCACGTGGCGATGGACTCAAACGCCACGAGGAGCAGGCGCTGGAAGAGGCTGTCGCTGCGGCGGACGAAGAGGAATTGCAAGCAGCACTCGCTGCCGGCGCCCAAGAATATGTGGTGACAGATCAGGAAATTCGCGGCACATCCGAATCGAAGGCCACCAGAAATCCCTCACGTGTGAATTTACGTCGCCCTGGTGCTAAGAAAGGTCAAATGGTGACTGTGCGCATACCACCAAAATATCGTAAATACTTCAAGAATGGTCAGAAGGTAATGCTGAACACCAGCAATCGTCCCGGAAAGCGACGTGTTGTGCAGAAGAAACGCATCAACCGTGTGCGCAGGCGCAAGGGTGGCAAAAGACGTCGCGTCCAGAATTAATTTGAGTTAATCAATGCTACATACATGCGTGTGGATAATGCTTTGGAAAGGAAATGAAATGCTCTGGAAATGTTGCGATTAACTTATTTATTATTATGTACTTAAATAAATTAACCATTTTTTAGAGTAAAAGTTGTGTCTTAATTCGTTTTTTATGGCGTTTTTATTGATATCTTATGAATGCAGAAAAAAAAATGTATAAAAAAATATTAAAAATTAAAATAATTGGAGGGGTATAGGGGGTGAGAAGAAGGTGTAAAAAAATGGCGCATCCTAGTGACATTGATTCTGACTCTCCTGGTGGTCTGAAAAAAAAACAAAACAAATTCTTAATCAGTAAGGATGCTGTTATAGTACCTACCTGTTTCAGGGAACACGAAAAAAAATTTTTTTTTGAGAAATGGCGACTGCCGGAAAATAAAAATCATTTTTTACGCTTGTTTTTTTTTTTTTTTGTTTTGAAATTTCTGAATTTTTTTAAAATATTAAAAACAAAGGATCATATAAAGATAAAGGATTATATAAAGAAGGTTCACACAAAATTTTAAGTAAATAGGTTGTATAGCACTTCAGATAATGCCGGTACTGTGTGGAAAAAAGTAGTTTCGAGAAAAACGTGTTTAAAGAAGAGAGTCTACCTACTTACCGAGCTAGGTACTGCGTCACTAAAGTAACTGTGGCTTTTAAAATAATTTTAATTTTTAAAAATCCTTTGGAGGATATTAAGGGTCTAAACTTTAAATATATGAAAAAAAAATCGAATTATTCAAAATTCTAGAAATTCTTAAACACTTGGATTTTCTTTTTCGAACACAACTATTGGAAAAAATAATCGCGAAATTTTAATTTTTTTGTAAAAATTTCTGCCAAAAATCCAATTTTGAGCTTTTTTTTTCTTCGTCCAAGCTCTAATTAAGGTTTTAACGAAAACTCGTATTTTTTACTTTAGATGATCCTATAAAAAGTTATCTTGCCAACTCGGGCCCATCTTTTTTCTGAGTGGTCACCGGAAACGACGTCGCAATGGGCCAGTTTAAAATATTTATTTCCAAAATTCTAGAATTTCTGTATTAGTAGTGGAGGTTTGTAATAATTAAAAATTCTAATAAAATATATTATTTCATTTTTTATATGAGATACAAAATTATTGATAAAAGGCTGGTTTTGCCCGAGGAAACCACTGTAACTCATTCAATTTTTGTTATTATGCTTGGCACTTGGCATAATTAAGTCCCCATAAAATATGTTTTTATTTTATGAAAAAAGTTTAATTGATGTTAAATAAAGCGACTGATGTAAAAATTATTATTATTATTCTCGCAAATATTCAAAATTAAAATCATTGAACTTTTTTTGTGCTTTACAACTTACAACTACTTTGAGTAATAACTTTTGTCAATTTAAAACTGACATTATGATGACGACGTTTCGCAAAAAATTTTAAATAAACGACTTAATTAGTGAATAAATATTAGTTTGTACATTAGCTTTGATTTAGTTTACGTTGTAAAAAGAATGCACAATATCAAAAATTTGTTTCAATCATTCAAATTTATTTATTTACCCGCTTTTAAAGTGTTGCCATTTTTAATGTTATAGACAGCCGTACTAGATGGTTGTAGCAAACAATTTAACTCTTCACTGTGAAGTTGAGATGTAACCCATGATTGAGTATAATTTGTAATTTTTTTTCTTGTCAGTTGAAGACGGGTTTGTACTTTGCCCCGAAATCCGTAATTATTTTTGCTTTAAAAATTTGGTATCGAACGTTGCTGATATTCAGTGCACGACCAATATAAGGAATATAATTGAATAATGCTAGCTGAGTCCGCAACAAAGCTTCAATCAAAGTTAAAAGGTATTCCGAAAACTAGTGTTGTCCCAAAATATAGCCTTATATATAAATATGTAAGTACTTCCATCATTATGTTATGAAAAGTAGCAGTTAAAAACTTTGTCCTAACCAAATTTCCAAATTTTTCCAACTTTGCCAACTTTTTTTTTTTTTTTTTTTTTGTATATNTTTTTTTTTTTTTTTTTTTTTGTATATCTAATTCATGTTATAATGTTTTGATATTATAAATGAAGTAAATAACTAAATACTAAAAATTAAATATTTTATACAATAAATAAAGATTTATCATACATTTTTTAATTTTATTTTTTAGGTACGCAAACACAACGTGATAAAAAAAGAGAACATGTAAAAATGTATCCAAAATGTAAGGTAAGTCCTTAAATTCATTGATATTATTTTTTAAATAATTATGAATATCTAAAATGTCTTCTACCAAAAACAATATCCATCGAGTAATAATATTTTGCTGACTTTGTTCATAATTTTAAAATTCTTAATTTATTCTATGTCATCCACCTCAAAGTTATCTCCCTTGGGCCCAAAACACTTGCGAAAACGTTTTTTCCAATTCACGAAAATTCTTCAACAATGTCTTCAATTTGCTCAAAACATTTTACCCGAGTTTGCTGAATAGCCAGAATTCGCACGGAGCTAAATCAGGCGAATACGGTAGTTGAGGCACGACATTGGTTGAAATTTTAGCGAAAACCACACGAAGAATCAACGCAGTATGCGACAGTGCATTATTGTGGTGCAAAAATCAAGAATAGTCGGTCCGTAATTGTGGCCCCAACTTGCGAATTGCTTCGAGCGAACGACGTATAACACGCAAATACTATTCCTTGTTGACAATTTGGCTGGTCGAAAGGAATACAGAGTGCACCACACCTCGCTAGTTGAAGAGAACTGGCAACATAACTTTGATTTTTTTACCTTCGTCAAAGATTTTTTCGGTAGGCTCACTTTCTCCAAAATGTTCGGCTGATTGATAGTCTGTTTCTGGGTTGTAAGCATAGATATAAGACATATTGTCAGTAATAATACGTTTCGGGACATCCTTTTAGTCGGAAAGCATTATTTCTCAGATGCTAATGCGACGCTGGTTTTTGAAAAATTGTGTGACTTTGGAAGCGTACATGCTTTCACTTTACTTTGGCCCAAACGATCTTTCAAAATGGGTTTCACTGCTCTTTCCGATATTCCAACGATGCCAGTAAGATCTCCGACTGTTAATCGGCAATTCTCAAACATCAATTTTTTTATTTTATTGACATGTTGATCATCAATTGATGTTGGTGGCCTACCTTTACGTGGTTCGTCGTCAACGCGTTCTCGACACTCTTTGAATAATTTGTACCAATCAAAACACTTGCTCGCGACAAACAATTATCTCCGAAGGCCTGAACGTTTCGGCACCAGAAAATTTATTCCGCACACAAAATTTAATGGAACTGCTTTGTTGAACAATTTCACTCATCCTTAAAATCGAATGCACTTTATGTACTTCAGAAAGACAAGCGTGTTGTATACAGTAATGATTATTTTGATGTGGTTATTGACACAGATGTCACTAACAGTCATGCCGACATGGATTTTCAAGCGAAATTTAAATTAAGAAATTTTACTACATTTTGTACCAAAAATTTAGAGATATTTGCTTTGACAATTTTATAAATTACAATCAACCGGTTGGAGAAAATGTAAAATGTGTGTCTAACATGTAAGAAAAGTATAAAGAATTTGTAAATATAAAGAATGCATCAAGAGGATTGTACCTATTGTATTTTTTCACATTTACCTTCACAAATTTTATCGATTTTTAAAATATCAAAATTACACCCATTTTGCACTTATATATATTAGTATTATCTATGTTTATACATATTTTATACTACTCGTATACCTGAATCGAATTGCAATTTTTGAACTTTGAATATGTTTCGAGAAGATAAAAACATTGTTTTAAATTTTTTTACAAACGTCTCCAATTGATTAGTTAAGAAAAATTTAACACAAAAATTGTTTGAATATTTTATGAAAACGTGATTTTTTTAGTTTGAAAATTGTGCAACATTTCGAGGTATATGTTAATATTTCACCGTACTTTAGTCATCAATATTGGCTAGATATTTCGAATCTACTTAATATCGATTTTCAAAATTTTTTTTTCATTCCATTTTATACGCTAGTTGCCTTACATAATGCGTATTTCAGTCTTCTCTTGTTTTTGAGGACCAAAATATCCGAAGCAAACATAACATTGCATTTTGATGAGGTTAGTTTGCTCCACCTACATTCTCTTTTAATTGACAAATAAAATGAAGCTTTGACAAAATAACAAATTTGCGCACCCAGAAAGTGTTTGCTGATGGACAGTCTATAGTGAGGCTTTTTATATGGGTAAGCGTAACACCCAGAACATCTCTTACAATTATATCAAAAATATGACTAAAACACTTCATTCTGTTACATTTTATGAATACTCAATGTTATAGCTGAGTCGATTGCTACTTCAGTCCATCAAAGAGTACGTTCACATTAAATATAGGTCAACAGCCACCACTACCTGTATGCTCAAAGTACATTGATTCACAAGTCAAATAAATAAATAAAATTCCGGACATTTGTACATACATATATGTATATGAAACCTTTATATAGGGAAACGTGGAGTGACCGTCAAACAGTGGCCATTTTTTGACAGCTTTGTCTCACCAATTGAAGTTCTTGCCTCAATGCACGTACAGCGGTTGTGTGTAAAGCTCGAGACAAGTGGCTGATTGAGTACTACAACTTTCGGCAAAGAACATGATTTGCAAAAAATAAGTAATGGCAAATTTTTTATTGAAATTCTATAAATTATGATAACCTTTCTATTCGATTGTCACTTGGAAACGAGTATTAAAGGTGAATAGAACCGCAAACATTAACAATTAATTCACATTTTTAATAAAAAATTTTGAGAGCAAGATGTTTGAAAGACATTGTGTATCGCTTTTATTAGTGTTCAGTGCGTTCAGTTGCCTGACAGTTGGTAAGAAATAATGAAACTAAAAAAATGTTTATCAAACAAAATCGAAAATATCAACTTTTACAGTAAACGCTGCGGCTATATCGCACATTGCCTTCATGAAGGATGCCAATTTCAAACCAAAGTGTCCTTTAACTGTGCAAACAGAACCGTTACAAAAACCACTGGTATTACTGCGTTTGTCACAATCCTCATTGGATGCCACAAATGCGGAATTAGCGGAGAAAGAAGCGGACATGGATGTGAGCGAAGAAAATGATGACGATATTGAATACGAGCATAATCGAAATGGATATAGACTTGTGGAGCTCAACAAAGCGCATTTGCAAAAGCTTATTGACAGCGGCAAACTGCAGTTGGTCGAGAAGCCGGGCACAAGCTCAAACGCAGCAATGATACAGCTGCACAATGAGGATGCGAATGATTGGGTGGCTGACGATGAACGCTCGAAAAAGCGTCCCTGGCGTAAAATTCAACGCATTATACGTCGGCAACTGGTAAAGAAACCGAAGCGATATTTCAAAAAAATTGCCCATCAAATTGGTTGAGAAATCAATTGCACATTTTAATAAACTTTGAATGGCTTCCTATAAGTTTTACAGAAAATAAACGGAATTTAACTTTGTAAACTTATTTCATTATTTTTCCTCCTATAAACTCGTTTGTTATACCAAAGTTATACATTTTTAAAAGCAAAAAACATTATAGTAAGAAGAAAAGTAAAGTGGAACCCATTGGTAACGAAATATAAAATAACATAAATTAAAGGAAACATAATTTACGCGCGACCTGATGTCATGAAGAGGGAAAAGATGAGCGTTATTGAATTTTTAAATGTTAAAAATTATTTAACTCGATTTCCTATATATTGTGAGTCTCGTAGTCCGTTATATGACGAAGTTCTAGGTAATAAAAATTATTAATATTAAAACTTTGTTATTAATCTCAAGCTTTATGTCAAAATATTAAATAAACAAATTTTTAGGTTTTTGTTTTTTAAGTTCGGTACAAAAGTAATTACCTTTTTCGTCTTAAAATCGAAAAAAAAACCTAATTTTGAAATAAAAATCCTCACATAAAAATGTCAGATTGAAAAGTCAGTAAACTTTAGAAACACTTTCTGATTGCATAAATTGTATAAACATTACTATGGTAAATTTTCTCAAAAAAGACCCAACAATTTTAACGCTCTCTGCCCACCCTGTTTATGTTGTAGGCGCTCTACTTGAAGGGCATGATGAGAATTAGAATTCCGATTATTCAACTCGGTCTCAAACAGTATTCCGAAATTGTTTATATTGCCACCACGGCGGCTAGGAAAAAGAATGGGTCGATTTCATAATTTTTTTTTTTCAATACTTTTATAATAATTGAATCTGTTTTTTTAAAGTCTAACAATAAGTTATAAAATCTGAAATTCATTTACAAAACTAGACAAGCTGAAGCAAGCCCTTGAGCTGTTTTGGTGATACTTTTAAATTGGTGCTCTTTAGTCCACAGGCATACCTCTTCTGTTTAGGCGTGATTGATCGCAGTAATGTCGTAAAGCGTTAGCCAATGGGTTTGATTGACCTCGGAACTCTAAATATTGTATATATTTCATTCTGCTGCCTACTTCTTTCCTTACCATAGGAATATCGAGATCTTTATGGATATTTTCATTACGCATTAACCAAGGCGAACAAGTGATTGTTCTAAGCAGATTCAGTTGGAACCTATGTATTATATCAATATTATCAGCTGTTGGAAGCTGATATTATAAATCTAAAATGTTTTTAGCCTTATATTATAATAATAATATAAAAGGCCTTCATAGCATACCAAATGCCTGAGCCACGTCTAGAAATATAGCTAAACAGTACTCTCTGTGCTCAAATGCTTTTTTTCTTTCATAAGTAATTATATTTACTTACTAAATCATGCTATATTTATATTATTTTCATGGAGGCAAGGAGACATCTTTGATAGTAATACTTTGTATGAGACTGATTGGTCTTTATGAAGACGACTGTGTTAAGTCTTTCACAGGTTTATCTATCCGAATAATCTGCGAAATTTTCCATGAAACTGGATAGTATCCAAAACTAAAGATTGCAGTGAAGAGCAAAGAGAGCACCTCTACCTCTACAGCAATTTTTGTGGTAACTCAGTTAGCACTTTTAGGGTATCCTGCCCTGGCGGCTTTTTCGGGATTAAGTTTTTTTTTGTGATTCTAATAATTTCGGAAGTTGAAGTTTTAAAAGACTCGAGTGACTGGTTAGCTGTGTTGGGTACGATTGTCAGCTTAAAGCTATTCTTTAGGCAATTAGTTGAAACACCTTTTTTAAGTAATTTGCTAAACAATTAGCCATTTCCTCGTCATATCGGTCCCAATTTCCAACCACTTGTTGTATAGGCATGTTGGAGTTGACTGGTGACTTCATGAACTTTTGAGCTTTTGGAAAGAGAATTTTGCTTGCTCGAATTTGGACACAGCTTCTATATATACGTTCCGGTGTTGAATACATATATTGAAAAATATAGTAAGTCCGTATACCAATTTGCTTAACATATTGCACATTTTTTCGAATAAGCGTTGCCACATAAGACAAACATAAGATATTTCGTTTACCACCCTCATTAATATTTCAGTTTTTTCTTCATGGAGTAAAAGAGCATAATTGTACTTCGATTTCTGAATTTTCCGATTCTATTTAAAAAACCGAATTACACACAAATCGCTCAAATGTTTTCCAAGACCTCGAATTTGCCCTAAAAGTGGGCGTTACCATGATCGGTGTGAAAATTATGATGGCATAGCCTTATGTGGTTCCTGTGGTTGTGGTTACAGCTCAGAGACCTGTATTTGCATATACAGTGACAAAAATTTAGTAGAACCGAACCTTACCCTTATACATTTGAGGGTTGGGTGATTATTATCCTATTTCCTACATATCGTTCTTAAAAACATTAGTATTTTATGCAGATAATCGTCGGGGTAATAACCTTGTTGTTGTAATCACATGTAAAACTTGCAACTATATCACAGCTTTTGGAATTTGCTTAAAAAATTATAGTATTATTATATTTCATTGCATACTTTGCGGCATTTGAGTATTAATTCAATTATACTCTTTGAAAAAACTCAATTATTTTAGTACGTTGAGTGAAAAGCTATACTGAGTGAGTGAGAATTACTCAAGCATTTATTTCGTTTGTACGTCTTATCTCTGGGGCCGCTGTTAGTTAACAAAATCAGCGATCACTCAGTCAGAGAATGTATAAAATAAATAAAAATGTTTATACATTCTCCGACTCAGTTGCTAATAAACCTCCTACTAAGTTGCTAAGTTGCACTCGTGCGTACCGGTTTCGATCGTTTGTTTGTTGATTTGCTCGTCGCGTGTTTTGTTACGAGTTCTTGCTGCCGAATTTTGAGCTTTGTACCGCCATTAGGACGCGTCAAGACTTGTTTGTTTGTGCAATTAATTCTTAAAGCAATAGCGGCCTTTGAATATTGTTGTTGTTATTGTTGTGTGTCAGACCATAATTTTTATCGCTTTGTTTTTGGCAAAGATTTTGGCATTTATTTACATTTTATAATATATATAATATTCGTGGCAGTTAAGTGGGAGTGCTCGCAAATTATATACACACACACACACTTTAATATTCTTACTTTTGTTTACGAGCGCGATCAGCTGTGAGTAGTTTTTGGACGCCATTATGGTACTGCTGGGAAAATTAGCAATTGTTACTGGTGAGTATTGAAAATGGATAAGAAAAGTAATTGTTTTCCTACCGAACTCTTCTTGTATGCAACTAGTCACATATGTATGTAATATATTGTTGTTTCCTTTGTTTTGTTTCATTACTTTTAATGCAATTCATGCTAAATTATGCCGGCACATGTGTTACATGTCGCTTTATTGCCATACACCAAACTTACTCATGCACATACAAACGCCTATGTAATTAACTTTAGGCGCTGGTTCTGGCATCGGGCGCGCCACCTGTCGCGTGCTAGCGCGAGATGGTGCTCGAGTGATCGCAGCTGATCGCAATTTGAGAGCCGCCGAGCAAACCGCGAAAGACATTGGCATTGGTGAGTATACACCTCAGCCTGCGTATATGCAATGTTTTTTATATTTGATTCCTATGCGTGCAGATCATGTTGTTGCGTTGGAGTTGGATGTGGCTTCGTTGGAGAGTGTGACTAAAGCGGTTGCTGCGTCCATTGCGCAATTCAAGCAACCACCTTCGATTGTCGTCAACTCAGCCGGCATCACACGTGATGGCTACCTACTCAAGTTGACCGAGAAGGACTACGACGATGTGTACAAGGTGAATTTGAAGGGCACTTTCTTGATGGTCCAACAATTTGCGCGCGCCATGATTGAGCATCACGTGCGTAACGGCAGCATCATAAATATATCGAGTATTGTGGCACGCATTAGCAATCCCGGCCAGGCTAATTATGCTGCCACAAAAGCTGGCGTCATTTCACTTACCGAAATTGCGGCCAAGGAATTCGGAAAGTTCGGCATACGTGTAAATGCGATATTGCCTGGCTTCATTAACACGCCCATGGTTGAGGTAGTACCGGATATGGTAAAGGAGGATGTTTTGCGTCGTTGTCCAATGGGTCGTCTGGGTCGGCCTGAGGAGATTGCCGAAGTCATAGCATTCCTGGCGTCTGAAAAGTCGTCATATGTGAATGGCTCAGCGATCGAGGTAACCGGTGGATTAAAGTAAGCAATATGTGATAGAGCTTTCAATGCTTGTTAGAACATTTCGGAATTTAGAGACTATCCAGTGATGAAGCGTTCTTCAGTAAAGTGCCTAAAGTGATATTTTCACATAATATACATACAAGAATTGTGCATTTATTCTTCTCTATATTCATTATCAAAATTTTAAATATATAATGTGTGAAGAATTATTTTTTTATTGATGTTTTATTGATATAATTTTTTTTTATACTGAAATTTATAAATAATATATCAATACGTAATCTAACGATGGAGCGCACTTGGGGATATTTGTCCTTTGTGTTACCCAAAATCTCCTTAAAGTGCAGTACCTTATAGATTCACGAACTGTTTTGACAAATTTCTTAAGGCGTCTCACTTCCTTAGGGTTTCCAAAGGTGTGTCTATAATGATATTTCAACTGCTGTTTCACCTCGTCTTCTTTCATATAGCTTTGTCAAAGAGGGTCCGAAAAAATATTTATTTATTGGAGAGGACAGTGTCCAGTCAGAATATCTACAAAAGCGGCGAGATGGATTTCGCTAAGTACAAAGTAGTTCGGAGGACTTCTTACAGCTCACTTTGGACCAGAATGGTCTTGCAGTCACATGGTAAGTTCTGGTTGTTGGCCAGCGCTCAGTTTAGCTCATTTCAGCTTCATAGGTGTAACGCCAGAGGTTATTGAACAACCGACTAGCTTCGAATCGGATGCCCTCTCTAGCAGGTTCATTGAATTTGCGTTTCCACCATAAACGGGGACTCATGCAAGTTTAATATGGAAAAAGCCTGAAGCTGTTGCTAATAAGGTCGTGCACTGCTTGACTAGTTTTCAGCACATAGCCAACGAGGACAAAACTGGTTAAGCCGTGAATAAACTCACTGTACTAATGTCTGTTCTAATGTCTTCGCCCACTCTCAGATCACTCACAGGTGTTTGAGCAGAGAAGAAAACACGTGGTAAAGATTCCGCGATGAAGTGATCTAGATTGTAAGAAATGCAATGGAAGTAGAAAATTTAAATTTGTCCTTGCCCGGGGCTCCACATATACCCAGTTTCCCAAGTATAATAGCAGCATTCGCCTCAAAGTACATTGCCCGTGCACTTCCTTAACATGCTCATCATTTATATGTAAATTTTATGGGGTTTCCGTCGGGGTGTTACAAACTTCATGGAAAAGACAGTTTTTTACTTTAATACACTCTACTTTTCAAAGAGTAATCATAAATAAGCAGGTAAGGACGAGCTGAGTTCGGGTAAACTGAAATTTGCAAGGATTAAAACCAACTTCCTTCAGATACATAAGGTTTCTTAGTTATATGGGGCTTCTGGCGAGTTTTCATCGTATTTTATTTATTCTAATCACAAAGATACACAGCTATAAAAAATATGCACTTTTTCAATTTTATTTAGACAACTTACATATTGTTTGATGTATGCGGTATAAAGTCACCCGGAAGATCGAAAACCTTTATATTAGGTATATGGAAGCTAAAGAAAGTATTGACCCCATTCAAACCATTTTTGTTACAAAGAGATATTATTATCAAAAAGGAATTCAAAACATTTATTTGTAAAAGTTTTTTTTAGTATGAATAATTTACCAATTCTTTCAAGCATGGGGTTGATGGCTTTTTGCCTGCAGAATTTAAATTCAATTCTCAAGTCTCAACAGAGTTAAACCAAAATATTTAAAGATCCCAAAAATATATTTATAACATTATTTCCAAGGGGAATGGAAGAACGATGCTAATAAAAAAAATACAGTATCATGCCACTAGAACCTTTTCACTGGACTTAACTTTGTCTTCGAAACCAAAGAGGTCAACATATTACTGTGATGTGTTTTAAGGGTTGAAAAACTATTGACTCAAGTGTTTATTGTCTGCTCAAAACTGCCTCAAAGAGAGTAGTGTTTTTTGTTTTTTTTTTTTTTTTCATCATCAAGTGAAGAGGTACCTTACTATTTGAACATCTAGTATAACTAAAATGGTGCGTGGTGAATTGGTGGTTTATGATTCATTAAGCGAATATTTATTATTTTTATTTGCTTCATACCTTTTTAATAAATTGAACATTTGAACGCTTAGTGAGTGATTACTTAGAAAGAAAAAAACAAAACAGAATAACCAAAGCCACAGCTGACTGGGACAGCAGAGCTCGCATTTCAGCGTTGATAAAAACGCAAACGCGCACGAGAACATTGACTCTTTGCCACTGATTAGAAGTCATCAAGGGGAGTTTTTCAGCCCCCGCGGTTGCCGCTAACAAGTTTGTTGAATGCAACTAAAAATTTCTAATAGCAGCCAACACGCGAACTTGAAATTTGCTTGCATCTGGTGACTGGTGACGCATAACCGGAAGTTTACAGTTTTGTTAACTTGCCCACTGCGCTCTGGTGCTTGAGTGCGTGCGAGGGTGCTTACCGCTGACTAAGTGAATTTTTGTTTATTTGTGGATTTAGCGGGTGGTTTCTGTGCTTCGAACTTTTTGCTAGTTTGTTGCGCACTGCCAGCCGTCTGCTGCTTGCTGCTTGCCGCTGGCTGTTTATTTATTTACTAAATCGCTATTCTAAACCCGACGGGTGAAAGTGCAGCATGTTGCCATGCACTTTATTGTTGTTGTTGTTGCTAGTTGTTTGCGTTAAATATTTGTCAGTGTCACCAGATGACGTGGCTAATATTAATATATGTATAGTACATATAAGTATGTATGAGTGCTTAGCAGTAAGGGCGGTAGTAGTAGGTGGTACAAGGCGTTGTAATGGGGTTAAAAAGTATACCCTAGGCACTTATCAATGGACTTTACGCTACGTCACATAAAAGTGATTGACACTTAAAAACTAGCTTTGTGCCATAGTAGCGGCTGATTGCTGGTGCGTGTCGACCAGTCTGCTGGGCAACAGTAATTATGGGCGGAGCTGTTAACAATAACTGTTGTTGTCACAGAGCTGTTGTTTAGTTTTAATAGGTAAGTGGGTTATTGTTTTCCAATGACAAATATATGTATGTACATATTTTTTTAATTTTTTTAATATTTCTTTTGTTTAACCGTATATATGTAATAGGTTGTCAAAAAAAGTCCTGCGGTATTTTTGCGGTATTTTTATTGAATTTTCAATTGTTCATAAAATTTTTTTGATGACTCATGCCCAGCTCTTGACCGATGCTACGGCTGCTACTATGCCGGTCTCTTTCGACCAATTTAGCGATTTTATCGCAATTTTCGAAGACTGTACTTCGTACGCTTTCAATTTAAGATTTCGACGTAAAATTCGCCAGGTCGTTCCATAATCTCTGCTCGGTCTTCGTGTACACTCTCAGCTTCGCATGCTGCATTTTCTTCACTACGTGGTGGACGTGGTATATTCGGTCGAATATTATTTAATAATTAATGCTGGGTCATAAGTTGGGTGATGGTGTTGCGAATAGTACTCTCAGTATCCCGATTATGTTGACCATAAGTTGAACCTGTTTCCCGTATTCTTTAGCGAACGTGAATTTTCATAATAAAATTGAACGATTTGTAAACGTTGTTCAGGCGTAAGTCTTTCCGGGATGAAATGAAAAACAATACTGAATAAAGATAACATGACAGCTTGAAACGAGTTACACGAGAAATGTAATAGAAGGCTATTGAACACAGTACCTATAATTGAACAACCCGTTAAATCTCTGTTTATTTTATTTTCAATATAATTATAAAGTACATATATATTATGTTAGTATATATATCGCGTTATGTATGGCAATGGGCGAATGATCATAGGCAACTGAGTATCCAAATGTCATTTTTGGCGTGTTATGCCTTGGTATAGTATACAGAAATCTTAAATTCGGTTCAAGACCAGCTGCCAAAAATACATTGATAATTGTAACAAAGCAGTCACTTTCTCTGCTTCTAATTGCTTATGAAAATAAGTTATAGTTAGTTATTGGCGCACCGAAAGCGCAAACAAGTAATTTGTTAGCGTTGCATATGCAAAGGGGCACCCAAAAATATGGTCGTGAGGCAGTTCATTGTCAATTTTCGCTCCCTTGATTGTTTTATATACGTTTTGCGTACATTAGGGTAAGCTATAAACACTACAAGGATGGGGAATGTAAAAAATGCATTTTATGCGGTTTAAACGGTTATATAATGACAAAGGATTTTATTGCATGTTCATCGACAACCTTCAAAATTAAGCTCAACAGTTTTTCTTGCTGGGATATTTTTACCTCTGTATATAAGTACATGTTAAACTGTGAACTTTACTGGAAAATTTTTGGCAAATCTTAATATACAATGCACTACTGAAGGCAAAAACTAATACAACTAATAATTGTTTGTCGTGTAAAAGTATTTTTGGTTAGTATTCAAAGAAAATCGAGAACCCGCTGACGACGAAACACGTCCAGAACGGACAACAACATCAACCTCTGAACAACACGTCAATAAAATAAAGGAATTCGCGCTTGAGAATCGGAAGGATCAGTGAAAACCATGTTGAAAGATAATTTAGGCCTAAGAAAAGAGAAAGCACGATGGGTTCTAAAATCAATCAGCCAGCGTCTCGTTATTGTCTGTGAAACAATGCTTTCCGACTACCAGGATGTCATGAAACGTATTATTATTGGCGTTGAGTTTTGGATTCGAAAATAAACTATCAATCGTACGAATATAATGACAAGGATGAATCGAAGCGCAAAAACACATATCACAGCAGGTCAAAAATCAAGGCTATATCTACAGTTTTCCGAATTCCTTTCGACTGGCTAAACTGTCAACAAGGAATACCATTTGTATATTACTCATCGTTTGCGCGAAACTAATCGTAAAAAGAGGACAGAAATCCGAGCAACCGACAACTCTTAGTTTTTGCACCACGAAAAAGCAACATCTTATACTGCATTGATTCTTGGAGTGTTTCGCCAAATTTTCAACGAATATCAAGCCGCAACCAATGTGTTTGCCTGATTTAGCTCCATGTGACTTTTGGCTATTCAGCACACTGAAACGACCATTCCGGGGAAACCAATTTGAGTAAATTGAAGACATTAAACCTGAATTGACCTTAACAACTGTTTCGAGTATTAGAAAAAACAAAAAAAAAAAAAAAAAAAAAAAAAAAAAAAAAAAAAAAAAAAAAAAAAAAAAAAAAAAAAAAAACAAATGTCGGTACAAGTGTATTGGGGCAATAGGAGTTTGCTTTGAG